TCGGAGCTGCGGCGACCGTGAATCGGAACCGGCTGGAGGGGTTGAGGACCTCCGACGGCCTTCAACGTTGTCCGGCGGCACTCCGGCAAGCAATCCGTCGGACCTCTCTCTCTCGAACTCCCTTTCTCCAACTCTCTCGCGCTCTCTCTAGGTTAGACTCTCTCTCTCAACCTTCGCTTCTCTCTCTACAATTGTTCAAAAATGAAATTCAAATTTCAAACGCCAAACAAAAACCCCTGACCACTCCCTTACCACGTCATATTTCATTTTCATTTTAATTTTCCACGTGGACCACTCCCATTTAGACACCTGTCCCGTGTCTAAATGTTGTCAAAAGAGGTTGTTCAAGTATCATTTTCCATGATGTTATTCTGTAGTGATCCTTCGTAGTGAGCGTTCGGTTTTAAATTGATATTCGTAGGTTTAATCTTGAACGTTCGGCCTTAAGTTGATACTATTAAGTTTGGATCTTTAGCGTTCGATTTTGGTGTATTAGTAAGCCTTCGGTCTTGATGAATTAATGATTGGAGTGTTCGGTCTTAATTGGATATTATTAAGTTTGAATCTTGAACGTTCTGGTGCACTATAGGTGAGCGGCAAAATGATCTAGGTATTCGGCCAAGACTCTAACATTCGTCCTTTTTAGTATTCGGTTAAATGAGTTTCGACCCTAGCGTTCGTTCCTATAGTGTTCTGTCTCGTAGTGATCGATGGTATGGAACGATCGATCCCGATGATGCTTATCCTCAGGGAGTACTCGTCAAAGGTAGTGTTAGGACTAGGCTTGATATTTGAGCGTTCGTCCTTTTAGCGTTTAATCAAGTGGGTGTTCGGTATTGGCGTTCGGCCGAATAGTTTTTGATTGTGGTGCTCGGTGTTAGCGTTCGGCCGAATAGTGTTTAAATGGTGCTCGGTATTAGCGTTCGGCCGAATAGTGCTTGATTGTGGTGCTCGGTATTAGCGTTCGGCCGAATAGTGTTTGATTATGGTGCTCGGTTTGTAGCGTTCGGCCTGATCATGCTTGATCTTTAGCGTCAGTCCAAATAGCGTTCGGTGAATAGTGTATGGTGAATAGTGTTCGGCCAATAGTATTCTGTCTATTAGCGTTTGGGGTTTTATCGTCCAGCATAAGTGCTTGATCTTAGTGTTCGTTCTTTTGGTGTTCGACCTAATGGTATCCGGTCTAATAGCGTTTGGTGTTTAGTGTCGAGCCTAAGTGATCAATATTAAGGTTCGTCTAAACAGTGTTCGATATAATATGGTGTTCGGTATAATAGTGTTTGATCTAATATAGTGTTTTTGAGCGTTCGGCATAGTGTTCGACAATATAGCGTTCGGCAGATGGCGTTCGATAATTAGTGTTCGTCCAAATAATGTTCGGTGAATAGTGTTCGGCCAAATAGTGTTCGGCAAATAGTGCCCAGCCAATAGTGTTCGATTCTAAGTTCTTCTGTTCTTATTCCGGATTGAATTGAGTGTGCTTTATGTTTTGAATATATATATATATATATATATACACTGTACGGTGAATTCTGTATTTAACGCAAATTGGTATGTACTTTGTTTTCGTGGGATTTAATTAGATAGCCTTTAAGAATTTTATAGTTTTATCGTGAATAATCAAAAATATTTTATGCTGTATTTCGGCAGTTAAAAGGATAATTTCCTTTTGCCTTTATAAGGTGATAGGTGGATACGAGTTCTGTCATTTTACCCTTTTGAGGGAAATACAGATATCTAGCCCGTAAAATTCTAACTCGTGCTGAGTATTGTGCTTGGTGAATGGATGTTACTCACCAATGTTTTTACTCGTAAGACCTTGAAGAATTGGGAAGATATGTCTAAAGCGGTGTGTGGAGGACGACTCTTATCCGCGGTCCAATAGCTGCGTGTGAAGGACCATTGTCCGATAGCTGCGTGTGAAGGACAAGAACTGAATTAGGTCCAATAGCTGCGTGTGAAGGACCAGTGTCCAATAGCTGCGTGTGAAGGACAAGAACTGAGTTAGGTCCAATAGCTGCGTGTGAAGGACCAGTGTCCGATAGCTGTGTGTGAAGGACAAGAACTGAGTTAGGTCCAATAGCTGCGTGTGAAGGACCAGTGTCCGATAGCTGCGTGTGAAGGACAAGAACCGAGTTAGGTCCAATAGCTGCGTTGAAGGACCAGTGTCCGATAGCTGCGTGTGAAGGACAAGAACCGAGTTAGGTCCAATAGCTGCGTGTGAAGGACCAGCGTCCATTAGCTGCGTGTGAAGGACAAAATCAATAGGTCCCTGTCTATAGCCATTAACGGCAGAGATAGGCAGGTTGGGGATTTACCTTGCTAGTGTTGGAGAGGTCCAGCAGAACTATGCAAGTGCAAAGACGACTGTTAGTTCGATAGTTATGCAAATCAGGATGAGTCGTGTGAGTGTGTGAGCTGTGGTTTAATGAGCATGCCTTAATTGTTCTTTTATATGAATCTATGTATGATAACATGAATTAAGTGTGCTATATGTATAACATGCTTTTATATCTAGCTCACCCTTGCATTGTTTTGTGTTGTGTGCTGTTTGGGTATGTTTCTTTGGCAATGATCATCCACTTGGATGGGAGCAGATGTTGTCGAGGAGATTCCTTTGGAGCAAGAACTAGAGGTTACTGATGTTTCGGAGTAGTCTTCTTAGGAATTTCCTGATTAAACACTTATAGTGTTCAATCCTTTCAACTGTTCAAGTTTAAATTTCCGTTTCTCTTATTTCTGGATGACTGTAATTTCACATTTGATTATACGTCTTACTCCGACTGTTCTCTTTATTTAAATGTTGACGTCTATATTATATAATATTGGTTATTATGGGATGGGTGACCTTTTGGGAAGTTTTCCCGGAAAGTGTGCAAGTGAGGACAAAGCACACTGGAAAGCCTGGTGGTGATCTGTGGGGGCAGTCAATGTTCCCTGTGAGTTGCCGGGACGTTATAGATGGTATTAGAGCCTAGCCTCTCCCAGTACGGTGTGGTTCGAGGACGAATCATTTGGAAGTTGGTGGGCATGTGACACCCGGGCACTAATAAGAGGGCGGGGAGTGACGCCGGTGCAAGAGGCATGGTGTAGGGGGCACTGACAAGGAGCGACTCCTGGCAAGGCTTCCAGTGGAAGGGACACATGGATGAATCGAACATACACCGGAATGAGAGGGATCTGGAGAATATGCGATTCATATAGTCCATGAAGATCGCTGGTGCGTTCGTTACTCCGAACGGCATCACTACATACTTGTAGTGTCCGTAACGAGATCTGAAAGCAGTCTTCTGGACGTCTTCCTCCTTAACTCTGATTTGATGATATCCAGACCGCAAGTCATTGTCTGTAGTCAATGCAAAGTCAGGGATAGGTGCTACCGTTGACACTAAGTCGATTGTGAACTCAACCTCGCGAGTAGGAGGTGCCTTAAACTTCCGAACTCCTGATCTTCGTACACTAGCCTCTTTCCACCACAATCAAGAAGAATGTGATTGGTAGTCAACCAATCCATCCCCAAAATTACCTCCAAACCTTGAAGAGGTAAGCAGATGAGGTTAACTTTAAATCTACGCCCCTTAACTTCTATGGGACATCTTATGCAAACCGTAGATGTCCTAATCCCACCAGCTGCTGGGGTTGACACCACCAAGTCGAACTGTAATTCGCTCTCCACTAGCCCCAGTTTCTCAACGCACGCCTTCGAAATGAAGGAATGAGTTGCCCCCGAGTCATACAACACACAACACTGTTTACCATACAGCAAGCAATCACCGAATATGAGATTACCTGAGCTTGCTGCCTCCGCGCCAGTTAGAGCATATACTCGCCCAACAGCTTGGGCTCGTCCACCTCTTGGTTGATTCCTTCCCGCGTTCGGTGGTCTCATCACCGCTCGTCCTCCCATGTTGCACTCATTTTCCAGATGCTCGCTTCTTCTACAACGAGCGCAAAATTTTCCTCCCACCAGTTGAGGACATGACGAGCGATAATGCGGTCCTCCACACTGAAAACAAGTCACATTCTCCTACTGCCCAGACTGCCCGACAGCAACCACTGCTTGCGATCCACTATGAGACTGAGCTGGACGAACGTAAGGAGACCTTCTCACGTTCGAATTATTTCTTGACAGGATTGGCNTAAATGTTGACGTCTATATTATATAATATTGGTTATTATGGGATGGGTGACCTTTTGGGAAGTTTTCCCGGAAAGTGTGCAAGTGAGGACAAAGCACACTGGAAAGCCTGGTGGTGATCTGTGGGGGCAGTCAATGTTCCCTGTGAGTTGCCGGGACGTTATAGATGGTATTAGAGCCTAGCCTCTCCCAGTACGGTGTGGTTCGAGGACGAATCATTTGGAAGTTGGTGGGCATGTGACACCCGGGCACTAATAAGAGGGCGGGGAGTGACGCCGGTGCAAGAGGCATGGTGTAGGGGGCACTGACAAGGAGCGACTCCTGGCAAGGCTTCCAGTGGAAGGGACACATGGATGAATCGAACATACACCGGAATGAGAGGGATCTGGAGAATATGCGATTCATATAGTCCATGAAGATCGCTGGTGCGTTCGTTACTCCGAACGGCATCACTACATACTTGTAGTGTCCGTAACGAGATCTGAAAGCAGTCTTCTGGACGTCTTCCTCCTTAACTCTGATTTGATGATATCCAGACCGCAAGTCATTGTCTGTAGTCAATGCAAAGTCAGGGATAGGTGCTACCGTTGACACTAAGTCGATTGTGAACTCAACCTCGCGAGTAGGAGGTGCCTTAAACTTCCGAACTCCTGATCTTCGTACACTAGCCTCTTTCCACCACAATCAAGAAGAATGTGATTGGTAGTCAACCAATCCATCCCCAAAATTACCTCCAAACCTTGAAGAGGTAAGCAGATGAGGTTAACTTTAAATCTACGCCCCTTAACTTCTATGGGACATCTTATGCAAACCGTAGATGTCCTAATCCCACCAGCTGCTGGGGTTGACACCACCAAGTCGAACTGTAATTCGCTCTCCACTAGCCCCAGTTTCTCAACGCACGCCTTCGAAATGAAGGAATGAGTTGCCCCCGAGTCATACAACACACAACACTGTTTACCATACAGCAAGCAATCACCGAATATGAGATTACCTGAGCTTGCTGCCTCCGCGCCAGTTAGAGCATATACTCGCCCAACAGCTTGGGCTCGTCCACCTCTTGGTTGATTCCTTCCCGCGTTCGGTGGTCTCATCACCGCTCGTCCTCCCATGTTGCACTCATTTTCCAGATGCTCGCTTCTTCTACAACGAGCGCAAAATTTTCCTCCCACCAGTTGAGGACATGACGAGCGATAATGCGGTCCTCCACACTGAAAACAAGTCACATTCTCCTACTGCCCAGACTGCCCGACAGCAACCACTGCTTGCGATCCACTATGAGACTGAGCTGGACGAACGTAAGGAGACCTTCTCACGTTCGAATTATTTCTTGACAGGATTGGACCATTACCCACTTGTTGATTCTTATGTTGCTCTACCTCTGCCATATTTTTCTCCAGTACTTTGGCTCTCTCCACCATGGCAGGAAAAGACCGAATACACAAGCTGGATATCAACACCTTCAAATCACTCCTCAACCCGTTCTCAAATTTCCTACACTGACATTCTTCACTGGTCGCCATGGTGTTGAAACGAACCAAATGCTTGAACTTATTTGTATACTCAGATACAGACATCCCACCTTGCACCAGTTGCAGAAACTCCACTTCCTTAACAAAACGAACGTTGTCTGGAAAGTATTCTTCATAAAATTTGCTTCTGAATGCTTCCCATGTGATGGGACTGTGAGTGTCCGCCAAGATAGCTCTCATGCTCGTCCACCAGTGGCTTGCTTCTCCAGTCAGCAATATAAAAATATTTGTGCATTTATTGTTTACTTCTGTCTCAACATTTTTCTCATAAAACCTACAATTGTATTTTAGTGTTGAATACAAGAGCTTCCCATACTAAACGATTGTTCATTAAAAAGGAAGTTCTTAAAAACACTGCATGAATATCCTGAATAACACGTGAAAAGAATTCATTGTTTAAAATCATTATACGGTCGAGCATTTAAAAATTACTTGAAAATCATGTACTCGACAAAAGTTCTAATGAGAAAGGTTGCGAAAAAAAAAAATCATTAACAAATTTTAAAACATTTTATCACTTGTCATTTCATTAATAAATGCATCGTTTGGTAAAGCATTCAACAAATATATTCATCAGATCGTATATTTCATAATATGATTTGCTTGAATTAACATTACATTGAATAAAACTTTCTTTTAGCTTCAGTGTTATAAAAGAGATGGACTTTCTTATTCACAAAACGCTAGCTTGTTACTCATATTATCAATTAGACGATTCATTTGAAAAAAGCTTTCTTTTCTTAGACGTTGTTCAAAAGCTTTGTTCATCAGACAATTCAATCTAGAAAACGTTATTGTAAGCTTGATTTTGTCTAGAAAGGATGTTATAAAATATTTATCTTTTAGACACTATATATTTTCATGCATATCAATATTTTGTTTTATGCTTTTGTTAAACTTCAAAACCTAAGTTTGCTTAGATGGTCTAATCTATAGACGATCTTGTCTTCACAAGATTTCTATTTATCATTGTCTACTATCCAGCGAAACCATAACCAAGGGAACGAGCTTGGCGGAATCAACAGGGAAAGACGACCTTGACTCCAGTTCGACTTTGTGAAATGACTTGACAGGTGTAGGATAAGTGAGAGCTGGAAACAACAAAAGTGAAATACCACTACTTTTAACGTTATTTTTCTTATGGTTTAATAGGTTCGGAGGTCCTTATATTTGTGGGTTCGTTTCAATTGGGTTCTCCAATTTTGAAAGTGATCAATTTGGTCCCTAATTTAACAAAATTGAGTCAATAATACCCTTTCCGTTAAATGTAATGGACGGCGTTAACTTTTTAAACATGTGGCTTGCAGGTTGCACAGTTTTATTTGAAGGATGCAGGTTGCACAGTTTTATTTGAAGGATGCTTCAACATACCACATGTTTAAAAAGTTAATGTCGTCCATTGCATTTAACGGAAAGGATATTATTGACTCAATTTTGTTAAATTAGGGACCAAATTGATCATTTTCAAAATTGGAGGACCCAATTGAAACGAACCCACAAATATAGGGACCTCCGAACTTATTAAACCTTTTCTTATTATGTTAATCAGAGGCGAAGTGTTGGCCCTTTTTTTGTTCCCATGGTCAACTTCGGTTAGTCGATTCGAGTAGAAGACATTATCAGGTAGGGAGTTTGGTTGGGGCGGCACATATGTTAAAAGTTAATGTAGGTGTCCTAAGATGAGCTCAACGATAACAGAAATCTTGTGTGGAACAAAAGGGTAAAAATTCGTTTGATTCTAATTTTCCATACAAATACATCATGAAAGCATGGCATATCGATCCTTTAGTCCTTCGAAATTTTAAGCTAGAGATGTTAGAAAAGTTACCATAGGGATACATGGCTTGTAGCAGTACAATTGCTATAAACGTTCATTTATCTCGTCTTATAAGTGTCAAAATGAATGTTCAAAGAAAAAGACAAAAAAAAGGAGTGATATGTCGGAACAATCGGTACCGTTATAGAGTCGCGCAGCGGAATAAAATATTCGGAAAGTGTGTTACAGTCACAAAACACATTTTGATGGTCCGTTTTAGAAAAACAATTTTCTTAGAGAAAATTTATCAAATAGTTGATGTGCATAAAACAATAAAGAGAGTAGGGAGTAGAAAAATTGATACACTGGATTTTTATCCTGGTTCGATTCAAAAGAATCTACGTCCAGTTGTTAATCACTATAAAAAGTGATTAACGTTTTCACTAAAATCAGTTTCACAAATTATAATAAGAGTGAATAAAAAATAGAGAGATAAAACCTTCCTTCGACGAACGAACCGGAAGATGACCACCTTGCCAACTCGAAGAGAACCGCTCCGACTATCGACACACGAAACGCGAGCTTCTCCTATTCACGAGACCAGACAAGAGCACTCTATCACTTTGAGAACTTCCTCAGACAAACTGTATTCTCAAAATGGCATAGATCCTTTTCACTCACAGAGAGCTTCCCTTAGGCACAAAGCTCTAATACTCTCAATTGAAAAGTTAATGTCTAAGAGATGTGAAGACCTCTATTTATAAGCCTAGTTTCGTGCAGGGTCAAAAACTGAAAAGACATCTCCCAACTGCCACTGATAATCGATTATTTGTGTCTGTTATGGGGTTTTCAAAAAAGTGATAATCGATTATCCTGAGCAATAATCGATTATTCTAGAGACTTGGACAGAATTAAATGAAACAGTGATAATCGATTATTTTGTGTAATAATCAATTATTTGTGCAAGCAACTCTCTTCTAAACTAGCTCGTGATAATCGATTATTCCTCTTGATAATCGATTATTTGTGCAATGACTCAATAAATACGAAAACTTCTAAGAGTTTTTACATCATTACATTTTATCCTATACATTTGTTTCTACAAAATGCGTTTAACAAAGATGCATTTAGAGTCTTCAGTTCTTCAGCTTTTATCATCATCAACATTTAGAGTCTTCAGTTCTTTAGCTTTTATCATCATCAAAATTTCACAGTAGCTTCAAGATATCAATGCTCCTCATTGGTAACATGATCATATTATCAAAAGTCATGCCAAAAGATAAGTCAAATTTTTTGTGGATAAGAACTCTGAAAAACACGTCTTTGACAAAAGACTTCATCCTATGATAAACATCTACACCAATAGCCAGAAAAGATTAGTTATCAAGACAAGTTTCGTCAAACGATCATATTATCAAATCTTAAGGCAAGCATCGTCATAACGGCTATATCATCAAGGTGTATAAATAGAAGACAAGAAGAAAGAAGAAGATGATGATGAAGAAGAGAGAAAACATGAAGATATAAAGATATTTCATCATCTGTTGAGCAAAGAATTTTCTTTGAGCTATTAAATCAAATCACTCAAATGAAGAGAAGAGCTCAAGAAAAGAAAGATACTCTCAAGCTTCATCAGAACATCCACTTGAAGAAAGACAAGAGAGTAAAAGAGTGAAACAGTGAAACAAAGGAAAAGATCACTCAAGCCTCATTGCAATATCTACTTATATTTAGAGAGAAGAGAGAAAAAGAAAAATAAAAGCATCACTCTAGTGCTTCATTGTATCATTTGCTTACTTGTGTAAGATGAAAGAAAAGGAGTGATGAGAGAAACACCTGCGAGTGTTTAGACTGTTTTGTATTATAATCATATCCTCTTTGTAAGAGTAATAGTGTGAACAACTTGTAAGCAATCATGCAATTCTGGAAAGAATCAAAACACTTACAAATGAACTCTTTTTGAGTTGAGAAAATTTAGGCAAGATTGTCTAGTATTAGGAGTGGTGCGAATACTCAACTAATATAGGATAATTGAATGTTATTCGTTGATCAAGGATACCAGGAATGGTGAATAATATTGCATAAGTAGGAGTGGGTGGAACTCAACTAGGCGGTATTGTGGATACCACAATGCCTATGGATACCAGGAGTGGTGTGAATACTCAAGGAAATCTAGGTACGGTAGTCTAGTACCAAGAGTAGTGCGAATACTCAAGGAAATCTACGCACAGTAGTCCAGTACCAGGAGTGGTACGAATACTCAAGGAAATCTATGTGTGGTAGTCTAGTACCAAGAGTAGAGTAAATACTCAGAGACTAGGAGAGGTGCGAATACTCAACTAATCTAGGGTAACTGGAGGTCATTCGTTGATCAGGGATATCAGGAGTGGTGCATAATACTTCACAACCAGAAGTGGGGGAAACTAAACTAGACGGAGATTCTTAGTTGTACTGGGAGCGTCTAGGGATACCAGGAGTGGTGAATAGGGCTACGCAATCAGAAGTGAGCTAAACTTAAATGTACTTCATTGAATATCTAATGGAACCCTATAAGTTAACTTAGAGGAGAACTAAATGTAGCCTTAACAGGTGAACCAATAGAAAACAGTTTTGTGTTTTAGTATATTAATAAACTATGTAGTTTAGTTAAAGTCTCTTACATTCTCTCTCTCTCTCTCTCTCTCTCTCTCTCTCTCTGTGATCAAAACGCTTCACTCTTATCAAGGTTACTGCCTAGATATAAATATTGGACACAATGAGTTGTTCATGTAAATGATCCTCCAAGATAACATTTATCAATCAAGTTCTGCTAACTCATAAAGTAATATGTACATCATGGTCAGTTTGCTAGTTGCAAAAAAGTTGTAGAAACATTATTCAATCCCTCATTTCTAGTGTTTCTTTGCACCTTCAGTAGGGGTATTTAATAATAATTGTTCTTCTACTCTTCTCTTCATGTAGTCTTCTTTATATAAACTTCTTTGAAAATGATTTGTTACTTTGAGCTTTGACTTTCTTCTGGACTGTAGCCTTTATAGTACTAAGTTAGAAGTTATGTTGTCTCTTGGTAGAGTAACTGTGTTGTGTGTACGGAAAGACAAATACAAAGTATGAAGAAAACATTCCTTCAATATATTTCTATCTCTTCACGTGATTTTGATCTTGAGTAGGCTTTTGAATAAAGGTAGTGATCTACATAGAAAAAGATAGCATAACACAACAGACAAAGAATTACTAGAATGTAAATGCTTTAAAGCGTTAGATGATCTTAAATGTTTAGGCATAATATGTGTATTCTCGTTTAGGCCCTGTTTGTTTAAGTAACTTACATCGTTTACGTTAATTTTAATATGTAGCGTTTAGCACTCTTTACATTTATCCTAGATGGTTTAATCTTTGTTAGACCTATTTAGATTAGACCCTT